AGGGAGGTCAATACTTTATTACTCTTAATTCCTTTCCACATTACTCCAGACAATAGAGATGTTTAAAGCAGGTGTACAGAGAAGATGAATAGATTAAAAAAAAGCAGGGGGGAAAAAAAAAAGGCAAAAAAGGGCAATTCAGCTTCAGCACAGAAGATTGTCTGAAGGAAATGTGGTTAAAAGATGCATCAGCAGACAACTGGACAGCTGGATATTAATGTCCAGAAAATGAACAAAGAAAAGCTCATGTTAAATAGACAAATAATAACTGATTCAGTGGCTTTTCCAGCCACGAAACTATGATAGAGGAAGCAAACCTAAGTGACTTTTTAACACATTAACCTACTGTAAGCACTTTCAAATCAGCCTAGGTGTGAAGTGCAGTTTCTGAGAGACAGTAAACCACAGTTGTATCTTTTAAACAAAACAAAGTCCCCTTCCAGGGGCTTACATTTTGTTATTTTTCAGGGGAAAAAAAAGTGAAATACTGCTCTGTTTTGCAGAGGAAAACCACTACCATTTAAGAGAAAGAAGAATACTAGTGTAGGACCTCAGTTTTAGGAAAGTTTACCTCTCCTTGGAAAACAAGTGAAAGCTTTACAATACCAGTCAGACTCTGATGATGAAAAGGAAAAAAGGGCTATGCGTGTAAAAACTCTCCAACATTTAAAGAAAAAAAGTTGGTTTTTTTTTTTAAACTGAGGCTTATAAAACCACTAAGAAGATATAGGCTGGTGAAACACTGAACAGGTTGCCCAGAGAGGTGGCAGATGCCTGATCCCTGGAAACATTCTAGGCCAGGCTGGACAGGGCTCTGAGCATTCTGATCTAGTGGAAGATGTCTCTGCTCAGCACAGGGAGTTGAACCAGATGACTTTTAAAGGGCCCTTCCAACCCAAACCATTCTGTGATTTCATGATGATTTTTACATTGATGAGAACAAAACAAAAATAAGGAATTTAAAAGATTTTTCCCCTCCTTCCCCCTCCGTTCCATAGACTTGTTTAGAGGGAAATTTATGGTAATGCCTTACTTTGCTACTTAAAAGACCACCTGATGAAGAACTGAGGGTACCTGATATTTATATGCTGTACTTCTAATAAGAACACAAAAGATGTTTACCAGTAAGATGATAATTTCTGTTAGGATACTACAGGATTTTTAAGCAACTTAGAGGAGCTAACTATTAATACATAAAAGTTAGTACTGGACTGGATTAGAGGTATGGTACCTGTGACATTTTGCTGCTAAAGAAAGTGAAAGTCAGTTAACTATCCACAGACAAGACTTGACAGCTAATAGAGAACCTCATACCACTTAGGTCTATACAATTATCTTGTTTTGCACTAGTTGAAACTTGGAGAAATTAAGGAGATTAAGTGGAAGAAATAGCACTTGTGGACTCAATGGCTTTTGGCCCTTCAGAATTTTACACCATGTACTAGATAAAAATCCCAAGATTTAGTATCTAAAATATTTGATATTAGATAAATCTGATGTCACACTTATTGAAGAAAATACTGTGACAATTCATACCACATTCTGCAAGAAAAATTGTACAAAGAAGAAGACAGAGATCATAATGTGAGACTGCTCTGTTAAATCACTGACTTCCCAGAGGTTCCACTTCTCCTGGTGCATCATAACCATGCAAACACAGACTGTTCCCTGCCTATGTGCTGCTCCATAGGAGAGTTCACTTGTCATAATCTTTTCTTTTTTTAAATAGAATCACTGAATCAATGGGGTTGGAAAAGACCTCCAAGATCATCAAGTCCAACCCTCCAGTGGTCACTAGACCATGGCACTAAGTGCCACATCCAGTCTCAGCTTGAAAACCTCCAGGGATGGGGAATCCACCACCTCCCTGGGCAGCACATTCCAATGTCTGATCACTCTCTCTGGAAAAAATCTCTTCCTAATAGCCAACCTAACCCTCCCCTGGCAGAGCTTGAGTCTGTGCCCTCTTGTCCTGCTGCTGGTTGCCTGGGAGAAGAGACCAACCCCCACCTGACTCCAACCTCCTGTCAGGGAGTTGCAGAGGGTGATAAGGTCTCCCCTGAGCCTCCTCTTCTCCAATCTTTAAGTACTGTGGATACTACCAGAATTCCAACTTAAAAATACCTACTTCAATGTTTCCAATGAATACACTTAGCACAATTTTCCATTTCTAATCATAAGAACTGCAGGAAGAGACCTTCAGAGACTGATTGCTCATGAAAACAATTTTCTGTAACTCTGATGATGATATATACTTCTTATCTATTGCGTTGCAGCTTATGGGCAAATGCAGAGGAACAAAGAGTATTTCCTTACACTTTTCCTTCTGGTATTATGAAAATTAGTTATGGCTATGTCCTTTTTTTTGGTACTTACTTATAATAACTAAACTTTCATAAAAAGAAACTCAACTGGGTTGTTAGCTGATAAAATGCAGTCATGCTCCTAAAAATAGACATTTTCATTAATGACATCTAGTATGATGTCATAGATTGGTAGCATAAGCTCCCTTACACTTCTGTTAAATAGTTGTCTAACTGCCCAAAAGAACATCCTTCTAAACAACACAAGTCTACCTTTGGACTTACATTGAAAGACTGGGATTCATCTACCTTTAATACCTGAGACTTAGTTTAACTGTACTGCAAAAATCCTTCTCCTCAACCCCAACAATTTAAGCACACTGGAAAAAAGATGACTTTTTTTAAAGTTAAAAAGAGTTTGCAGTCCCAAACAGAGCAGAAGCTGTGCCCTAGAAGGCTTGGAGGGAGAAAATTCTCCTCCTCCTGGCACAGCTGTGTCAATGTAAAAAGGTAATCAAAATGGCACAAATGTAGCACAGAGGGTTTTAGGTCAGGCAAAGAACCTCAATGCCCTGATAGCTTTTATTTAATAGAGGGTTTCTTTTTTGATGTGCTAACCACCAAATACAGGAATTGCCATGCAAAAAGGGAAATAATTGACCATGTTAAGCCGAATCAATGTTTTTCACTAAAAATCAGAAAAGCAATGTGAAAGTCACCAGTTTGGCTATGATATTGCTCAAACTTCTCTATGGGGAGTTTCTATTTCATTTATGAAACCATTGAGAAGTAAGTAGTGTGTGTAGTTCATTGTTATTATTCTGCCAAAACTTCACCATGAGGCATATGGATCACATAGGTAAACAATGTGTAGATAAACATTGTTTTATAAGAAGCTCAGAGCCCAGTTCAAACAGACAGTATCGTTAACTTTCATATAACACAGATGGATAATATTGTAAAATGGGAAATAAAATCTTGCCAATTCTGTGTAGGACACTGTCTAGTAATATGCCTTCAGGTAGAATTCTGGCAGGGAAAAGAATTGCCAAATAACAGATGCAGTTTGTGATGTAAAGACTGGAATGGAAAACGAGAAGAAAGAGAGGAGTTTGTTAAGCAGAACTGACACCTTCCATGGTATATCAATCAAGAGGAATTACTCTGTATATCCCTGAGTGCGAGTGAAATTTGAAGCTGAAAGTAACAAGGGCTAAGGAAGAGGCTGCAAATTGGAAATGACAGTTGATAGGGAAGTAAAAAACCTATATGAAGGCAGATTGATATGGCAGAGGTTGAGATGGAAGAGGCAAAATATACATAGAAATATCATAGTGATGAGGTTTGGGAAGATTCTGTTAGTACTGCAAACAGAACCACCAGCACTGATAACTGCAAGCAGGTTGAGGACTCCTGTCCTCACAGTGAGTGGGATGGCAGAACAGTGAAAGGTAACAGGAGAGGAAGGTCATGACAAACTGTAGGAAAAAAGCAGTAATTTTTTTTAAAAGTTGAACTCGAGATTTCTTGTGAGACAACTAGCAGTCTGAAAGAAACTACACAGTATCTGACTCCCTCCAGAAGGGTAGCTGAAACAGAAGATATGGATAAAGTTGCTCAGTGAGAACATAAAGAAGAAAATTGAGAGAATCATAAACAGCAGTGGCTGAGGTACAGATTACTTGAGTAACACAAGAAAAGTAAAGAAAGGAGTGACCTTTTCATTAAAGAAACAACAGTAGCTTAACTGAATGGATATTTTCTTTGAAAAGATGTCTCTAGGTAAAAAAACACTTGGATATTCCCATCAGTAGCTGAAAGGGAATGGAATCTGTTGGTATGTTTATACTGGACTTGACTGTTATTTTGAAAAGCATATAAAGCCAAATTGATACAGACCTTTGAGTAATTAGATTAGGGAATCTGAGTTTTTGAAGAAACATGGTACTGAGAGGAAGTTGCTCATTTAGAAGAAAAAAATATTAAGACTAACAAAATTTTTTGTTGTGGTCTCCTACTCTGGCAATGAAAGCATCAGAAAATTGATTGGGTCTTCATCTGTGCAGGCTGATTAAAGCATAACCCTATTGTCTGGAACAATATGGAAGGCAGCTAGAGGAAATAAAATCCACAGAAAACAAAACACAGTCAAAAATATACATACGTATCAAGATCTTGATGTCTTATGCAGCAGTAACAATGAAATATTCAAACACAGAAAAGAGTCACATGAAAACCTGCAAGATTTTGCTATTAAACAGCACAGCATTCTGACAGGAGTTGCCTATGGAACATAGGGGAGCACTGATGATGCTGCACTAAGTCCTTACTCAGCTGCTCTGACAGACATTTCAACCTTGACAGCATTTTTATTTGCTTTGCTTTATCAAGCATGAAAGAATTAAGCCCAAGATTGTTTTAAAGTGGAAAATCCTTTGCTCTTTTTCCAGTTTTATATTGATAAACCCAGTGTAAACTCCTGTTGAGTAACATTTAGAGGGATTCAGTCCTCAGTATATGAATGCACAATGTTACATTCTATTAGCAATTTAGCTAAACTGTGTGTGTGCATAACATTAACAAAGGCTTTGGTCAAAGATTATTTCTGAGCTCTTGTTCTGCAGGCTGTGTCAGAAGAACAGAACTCTGCAGTACAACATGCATTACACTACATAACTTGGAAGGAAAATTTCTTACCTCCAGCAACTAGCCCAGACTCTCCTAACTGAATTGCTACCCCGAAGCCACCAAGCTTCACTGGGGCTGAATTCTCTTTTGAGGCAAGCAGTACACAGTGTGGCTGAAAAGACAAAAATCCAGACAGATTATTATATTGTCTGAGAAACACAATCTGTATTTTAGAATTTATTCTCATAAATTTGCAAACAGAAGCTAGAATTATTATTTTTCTTTTTTTAGAAAACAATTTCTTAATTTCAGATTTATTTATTTTTTTTCCTGGCATGGACTCCTCTTTCTTCATTGGTTTCCATTCTATTGTCCCAGGCACAGCAAAATCTTTTCAGGATTTACCAATAGTCACAAGGAACACAAAGTGAAATCATGATAAAATAGGTATGAATACTCACACTTCTAATTTCTTACCTGGTATTACTTTTTGTTTCTACCTTTCACTCTTAATCCTTACACTATTTCAATTCTCCAGCAGAAATATCCTGTCTATGCCTATACATTTTGTGGGATCTTATCCTTCACAGAGAGAACACGAAACACTATTTTGAGCCTTAATCACTGATCACTTCTCTACTGCAGGAAAGAAAAGGAACATTTCTGGGATGTTTCTAACAAATATTGCAGAGAAGGATATTGTTTAGCTTTCTAAACTGGATTCCAGGCACAGTCATCCATACCTTTGATTTTCCAGTCATTTCACTGATAAGAGTGAAGCACAATGTATAAAAATGAAACAGTATTATCCAACAAACTGGATGGATACTGACTGGGGCAGGAGGAAGCAACATATAGACAAAATCTATTAGAACACAATTTGGTATTTAATACATATGCCCTAACTATTGCATTTAATATAGAACAAATTGTGGCGTTTGCTCAAAGTTTCCCTTTTAGATACCATATTAGTTAAAAAGGACAACAAGGTTGTGCAGTGCTTCTTGAGAGCACATTACTGCTTAAGCACAAAACTAGGACTCAAAATAGTGCACAGGAGCTACAGGAAGCTCAGTGTGACTACCTGTAAACTCATCATCCATAACCACATGTGTCTTCTTTTAAATAGTTTCAATTGTATAGGAGCAAACACCTTCAAGACAAGGTCCATGAGAGGATCATTAAATTCAGGCCTCCTTATACCAGATCTTCAAGAATCCACTTTTAAATTTCCAATCTATAAATGCAATTTTCAATTCCTTCCACCTTATTTAAAACAATATTACCAGGTGGTATAATTGCTGCATATTGTATTTCACTTCTGCCTTATTGAAATGGTTAAGCTGCACATTTTGGGCACTTTCGCATTCTCTCATCGCTGTCATTTTGAGTGAAAAAGATCAACCTCAAAGTTCTAACCTCAGGCAAGGAGGAAGGTGTATAGGAGAACAACAGCAACATAAGGAAAAGGTACCATTTCACTGTGGTGTTGGTCTATCTTTACCCTACACTTGAAAAAGTGACATTACTTTCATGACATATTAAAATGAGGACAGGCTGTACCCACATCATTGTCATCCAAAAAGGAAGCCACTGCCACTGCTCACCAGAAACAAAATTTCTGAGAAAAAGAAATTAAATCTCCAATTCAGAGCGAAACTCTGAGAAACTTTTATCATAGAACCTCTCCCAGCGCAAATAAACTGCGTTTTCAGAGTTTTGCTATTTAAAAATGTCTTTTAAAAAAAACAACCAGTTGCAACACTGGTTAAACTTCCCCTTGTTGCCAGTTGCACTGCGTCAGCTGATGCTGATCACTTTCATAGAGAAGCTGCAGCTCCAGCTTTCTAATAAGAGGACCTGCATGTTACTCCTCCCTCTCTTCACCAGCAGTTTTGAAAATCAGCAGAAGTTCTTAGCACATAAATGGTAAGTGACTTCTTTTATACTTCAGCTGGAGCAACCCAAATTTCTATTAAAATTTCTTTTAACTGTTAAGGTACTACTGACCTCCAAATTTCTATTAACATTTCTTTTAACTGCTAAGGTACTACTGACCTTCAAACCCTTTCTTAACGATACCTAGGTTTAATCATGCCTGTGCTTGCTCATAGGTGACAGACTTACAATAGTGCAAAGTTATGTTTCTAATGCATCTGCAGTGTAATTGCTGTTTTTCCCTCTCTCATTGATCTAAACTTGTCACTGCTAATGAAAGTCATGATGTCAAGTGTTTTTCTAGGAAAGCAACATAAACAACAAATCATAACAGGAGAGGTTTTCAAGAATTATTTGAAACCATCATGTGTTTTAATCAGCCTTTTGAAGTTATTTTTTACCTTGACAATATGAAATGGCAAATATGAAAACAGCTATTTTTGAAACTGCTTTCATCCTGTGCGAGTTCAATACAATTTTAACATACGTACACAGGATGTTAATATTTTAGACTGTCCCCTCAATAGTTCAGATTATGAATGTACATTAGGTCTTACTCAGACTGTTGTTACCTGAAGTGTTGCAATTTTCACTGCTGTAGCTATATCACACATTGAAATGCAAATTTGCATTTCTAAGACCTAGCAAGCAAATTAAAACCTATTTTAAGCTTATGTACACCACAGTCTTTTGTTTTTGCTTTTTTTACTTGTCACAGTTATTGGACAACTAAACTTAAGAGTACCAAAACCAATTCTGATATTTTTATGAGATTAGGGAAAAAAAATCTTTCCCCTTTAGATAAACTTTTTAATGGAATCTTCCATTGCTATGACAAACAAGGTTAAGATAAAAGTGAGACACTGTTAGTGTGTTCGGTTCTGTTAGATTCTTAGTCTGATTCTGTTCTCCTAACCACACGTCTTTAGTTTTCCTTCTTTGGTCAGAGTTGACTCTTATCTTCCAGATTGTACCTTCCTGGTGAACAAATAAGCTTTGTGCAATTAAAAACTTTGAAATGAAAACGAGGAGGATGTGAAAACAATCTGTTACTGCATTAATGCGGTTTCCAGCTAATATTCATTTATTTGGGTAATATTGATTTGGGAATGGCCAAGCAAAGAAAAAAACATTTAAATTTATATGAAGATATCAATCATTAAAGAGAAGGTACTTTAATAGTGCTGACTCAGAGTGTTACTTCTAACAGATTAGGTGGCCAAATAAGTATGAATTGACAATTGCTATTCAAATTGAAAACTAGTGACTTGCATGTGAGAACTCATGGTAATTACACTAATACCAATGAGTTTAGACTTGCTTTAATTTATTTCTGTGTACTTTGTATCAACACCGAGAATACTTCACTTAGCTATGCTCACCCGTACTTGCATCTTAATTAAAAACCTTCTGTGTTAGAAAGATTAATCCTAACACTGAATGTAAAAAAATTATTTGCACTACGAGATGAAACAAAAACCTAAATTTCTTAAGTTTGCAGCAACGTGTAATAGTTGACTTTTCAAACAAAACAAGACAGTAATAAAGATGTAATTACAAAACTAGTTATCTGTGTGAGTACTCTGTACCATTTGTTCTTGCCTGCAGATTATTCTAGACTTACACTGTACATAATCTGGCTCAAAGTCCTTTTTCTACTCAGCTGCAGAAAGACTTTGGCACATTTACGTTTTTTTATAGTTACTGCCCTTTATGTCACATAAGACTGTATGCAACAAAGCAAGCAGATACATGAGTATGATCTAATGGCAATTTAATTCTTAAAATTTCCTCTTTGCTTCCCTACAGAACATCTGAAAAACCCTCACAAGTGATGGCTGCAGCAGCAGGTGCTTCACTGACCACCCTGGCCAAAAATGCCTCAGAAATCCAAAATGATGGCAGTTGTCCCTTAGACGACGACTCACTGTCACTCACTTTGATAGTTTTTTTCTCTATTATTTTTGTTGTTGGATTGGTTGGAAATATTATAGCCCTGTTTGCCTTCCTGTGCATTCATCAGAAACGGAATTCTATCCAAGTTTACTTGCTAAACGTAGCTGTTGCAGACCTTCTGCTGATCTTCTGCCTTCCCTTGCGAATATTCCATCATGCTAACGACAACAACTGGCTGTTTGGACGCATTTTATGCAAGATTGTAGGAACCCTGTTTTACATGAACATGTATATTAGCATAATCCTGTTGGGACTCATTAGTCTAGATCGTTACATAAAAATAAATAAGTCTGTGAGGTGTTCTAAAATGTTAACTACGACACGAAGTGTACAGATTTGTTGCATGGTGTGGGCAGTTGCACTGACAGGATTTCTAGTAGTGGTTGCACCATCTTTTTTTAAGAGTGACGACAGCAATTCTACTCTGTGCTTTCATTACCGAGATAAACAGAAAGCAATGCCAGAAGCAATTTTAAATTATATTACTGTCATCATTTTTTGGATCGTTTTCTTCCTTTTGATCCTTTCGTATGTTAAAATTGCAAAGAAACTTCTGAAAATTTCCAAGAAAAGAGCAAATTTTCCCAACGCTGGAAAATACACCAAGACGGCAAGAAATTCTTTCATCGTCCTCATCATTTTCACTGTCTGTTTTGTTCCTTATCATATGTTCCGGTTTGTCTACATCACATCACAGCTCCGAGACACACCCTGTTATTGGAGGGAGATCATTCACAAATGCAATGAGGTGATGCTCATCTTTTCATCGTTCAACAGCTGCCTAGACCCAGTTATGTACTTCCTAATGTCCAGGAGCGTCCGTAAGACTGTATTCCAACTGATCTGCAGAAAACTCCACAGAGATTCAAGCCTAAATCTGGAAAGCACTTCAGACATAAGACTTGGACAATATACCCAAGAGCGATTATCTACTACTACTCCCCACTCGAGTTACTCAAGGAAGAAGTCTCTGGTTTGAATGAATGGCTATCACTTTCTTTCTGTCACTCCAGGGCATCAATTGCAGATCACCAAATGTTCTACTGTACAGCTACTAATCCTGCCTCTTCCTGTTAAAAAAAAAAAGAGAAGTCTTACTTCTGTTTGTGAAAATGAGAAGTTACTTTTCAGAAGTATTTTGCTCTTGTTTATCCAAGGAAACAAATCAGGAAGTTTTCAGACATCATCTGTTGGACTAAACTTAGAACACTAACTCTTTAAGGAGATTTCAATGAAGTGGTTTGAACCTGTCTAAGGAATCTTGTATATACACGTTAATTTTAGTAACTTGTGTATGTAAATAATAGGTGAATTTTGCAAAGGTAAATTGTGTCCTATTTGAAGGAGCTGTATAAACCATTGCAGATTTTATGTACTTCTCTGTTTTAATAGGTTTCAAAGATATCAGTATTTTAACTACATTTATAGATGTGCTTTTTTCTGAAGTGCTTTTTTTCTGGGAAAATATTGGAAAATTTAGCAACATACATAGCTGAAAAAATAGTGATGCATACAAGTTCCATTAATTCAGTTATAATTACAGAAGATACACTTCATTTTATTAAACATCAAAATTAAAATATTCAAGCCTCCTAAGCCCCTTATTATATTTTCAACACTTTAATGAATGTCAAGGTTGAACACCTGAGGAAAAGCAAGCAATGCTTTTGGAAAATTAGAAATTAATGCAGGAGAGATGATGTGGGTGTTTTCATTTACCCAAGATTTCCTTCAAACTCCGACAAATTTGGTGACTGCAGCTACACAAAGTAGTTCAGCAAGGAACATAAACTCACAGGACTGAGCACCAAGAGCAGCCAAGTTCAGTCACTGCTCTATTTACAGATTTCAAAAGCCACACTTCCTCCCTGGCACAAACCTTCTCTTTTCATGGCATTAAAATCATCTTGATAATTGCTGATGCAACATCCCATAGATACAGCTCTGCTCTCAGATTAAAACCACACAGGCTTAGGTATTTAGGCACAAACATATTTCAAGCTGTAATATTTCTTAAGAAACTGGGGGCTGAGGGTGAGTGTTGTCTGGCCCAGAGATGACTAATGCAGCAGTTATACCATGAACAACTTAAATGTCTGGTGTTACAGGCCAGAAAGGTGAACGAATTAGAGACAAGATGTTAAGCTCTGTAAAATAAGAATTTCTTATCCTGACACATACAAACAATTTTGCTCAACTAAGCAGGTGTAAAGAGGTTGGTTTTAATATCACTACCAGTAAGTTCTCTAATGGATCATGTGTCTTTTAATGCCAAATATGTGCCAAAATCTATGTGGATTTTTATTAATTCCATGCAATATTCTGGTTTTATAGAAGTTACTCATAATACTCTTGTTGTACAAAGTAAATATAAGACTTCACTTCTGCTAGATAGAAACTTGGTTTAATTCTGATGTGATTTATCTCACTCAGATTTGGTGAAATTGGGTATAAACATGTTAAGAAATTCAGAATGACTAGCCAGTCTATTTTGTCTTCATTTCTTTATATGAAAAAATGTTGGAGTTTCTTGATCTTCAGAAGAAAGATTCCTGCACACACGTAATTTCAAAAAGGTACAATGGTAACTGCATTTTTTCCTAAACACTTCAGCCTACAATGAAGATATTTGTATAACAATTTCTGACATTCTCACAATAATTTTATCTATCGTCTTGTCATCCTTTTACTTGTATGCTCTCTTGTTTCTGTCTTTGTACAGATGGACACGAACGACACGGTGCAGCTTGAACAAAGTATGAATTCTAAGATTCTTTTGAACAAAGTGTTCCACTTAAACCAGAATTTTCCTTTACAAGGGCTGCAATTCACGGACACTGCAGAATTGCATAAACAGACTCAGAGCTCTTAAGAAGATCAAGTAGTAGTACAGGGGTTTGATGCTGAAAATCCATTTGACTTTTAAAGCTAAAGGCAAATAAAAATGTGTTCTATGGGACAAAAAAAGACCAACTTCCTACTCTGGGAATACCTTTATGAATTATACAACATTTATTTGGTTACTATAATATTATTTTGCAAGCAACTAAATACATAAAAGGCCAACAGGACAATAGTCCTGCAGTACAAGTAACAGATTCTGGTCCATCATTGGAATGTAATTACATTGGCCTTTGGTTTTTAATAGTTTTAACAGTGAAATCTAGTCAGTATTTTCATCAAGAGGAAAGCCTTGAACACCCATAACTACTTGCATTGATCAGATGTGTTTACATGACAGCTGTTCTTTATAGATTGCAGAGAAGACACAGCAAAGAAGTCATGTGTAATAACAGCAAAGTTTCAGAAAAAAAAAGACATTTTAGAAGAAATATTAAAGTGCAGCACTTTCCCAGAACAACCTGCTACACATCAAATATTTCAATACAGGATAATCTATCACTTAAACCAGCCTCTGCATACAAGCAGCAAATATGACCCAAATATTTTAAAGAGATTTCAGGAGTTAGAGTCTAATGCTCATGAGGCAACTCCACAGCACTTAAAGAGACAAAGAAAGCTAGGCAAGCTTTGGTGTGTATGGTACCCTAGGGAAAAGTGAATAGATTTGTTTGAGGGATGTCAACCCTCAACAAAAATTCAAGACATAACTCTTTGCTCAACAGCAATAAATGAGCAAAGAGACTGTTAACATTTGGGGAAAAACAACCTGAAAGTCATCATTGTTCTACTGTAGAATTTATATGACGTGGCTTCTATACAGACTGCATTAAATACATCAACTCTCCAGCTCAGAAATGAGAGTTCTATAAGAAAGTCTGTAGGAGCACAGAAGAGGGGAACAGGTATGACTATATCATCTTGTCAGAGTGTGGCATTAAGGGAGAAGCAGTTAGAACACAGAAAAAAACCCCAAACCAATCAGACAAATGAAAACACTTTTGGACTTCCAGAGCTATATAATTCAGTGCCTCAAGATGTTAAAGGCCGATGTGTCAACTGGCCCAGAAAGGGATCTGAAACCAGATAGCACTGTCAGGTAGGAAACAATTCCTACTGACCAATAAACAAAAGCAGGTATCGTTACTGTTTGTAAAAAATACTTCATCCTTACATATTTTTTCCTGCAATCAGTTTTCCCAAACTTAGGGTAAAACGTTAGGCTCTGCAAAACAATCTTACTGAAGAACAAACAGTCCTGAAAAATCTTGGGGTCTGCTGAAAGTTACACTATGACATGTCAAATGAGCATTTAGTAGTCACATTAATGGAGTGTCTTACTTCTCTCAGCAGTGAATTACCAGGGCCAACTACAGATACTAGTGGAGTCTTATTTTAATTTGTCTAATTAAAGGATAACTCTGTGCACATCACATAACCTGCACATACCTTATTCAAATCTGCAACACATCCTTGAATTTCAGTTGGTATACCAAAGTGTCACCTCTTTTTTAATATGCAAAAATGGGTGCATATTTTCTTTAGCATAAATAGCAGTTATAAAATGCATATAAGGTCTGTGTGCTGCCTGGTCACTTTATGCCTTTTAGATTAGACAAATACATCAACAGGTACATTGTCTTACACATATTTCTTAAAATTAATGGAAAACATGCAAAGAAAAACAAGCAAAGAAACTAAACTGTTTACCAGGTACAAGTTTATAACTTGAATCATAAACATGCTAAAGTGTACCTGGATTGAATAAATGGCTGTGCTGGTTTCAGCTGGGACAGAGATAAATTTGGTGGGGATAGATTTCTTCACAGTAGCTGTTATGGGCTATGGTTTGGGTTTGTGACCAAAACAGTGTTGATAACACAGAGATGTTTTTGCCATTGCTGAGCAGCATTTGCACAGTATTAAGGACTTCTGTGGCTCTCAGAACACCCCCCACAGTGAGCAGGCTGGGGGTGCACAGGGAGTTGGGAAGGGACACAGCCAGGACAGCTGACCCCAACTGACCACAGGGATATCCCAAACCACATGGCATCATGCTCAGCAATAGCAGCTGGGGAGGTAGTTTGCCAGGATTGTCATTTCTCAGGAACTGGCTGGGCATTGGTCAGCCACGTGTGAGCAATTGGGGTTTCTAGCACTTGTTTCTCTTGTGTTTTTTAAAAAAATATTTAGCTCAAACGGTGAGTTTTCTCACTTTACCCTGCCAATTCTCCCTCCCAGCCCACCAGAGAGAAAGTAAGTGAGCAACTGTGTGGGATTTAGGTGCTACTGGGATTAAACTACAAAAACTCTCTTTGGCACCAAACACAGAGCTCAAAGGGTTTGAGATAACAACAGGTTTGACCACAGCGTGTGTGTTCGAGGGAGCAGGAGGGAGCATCAGAAGGAGAGATCTGTTCTGCAGCAGAGCAGCCACAAGAGTAAGAGGGGGAAAGAAGAGTAAATTGTAAACAAGTTTTTGCACTTTTACCCTTCTGATTCTTTCCCCATCCCACTGAGAGGGAGTAAGCAAGTGGCTGTGTGGGGCTTACCTGCCTGCCAGGGTTAAAGCATAACATCAAATTTCATTTTCACACTGAAATTAACTCTAATTATGGATTTAACCTGAAAATTGGTTTTTGTCATGAGGGCAGACAAGTATATTTTGATGACACAACGTGGAGACACTTCACTGAATTCCCTCACAATATCAGTCAATGAAGCCATAAGAGAGGAGTGCAACTCACACCACTGAAAAACAAGCAAGAATCACATTATTCCTAGAACTGGAAGTTCACATACAGACACTGTAGTTCAATGCTCTCTCTGACAGCACATGCAGAATCAGAGCAGAGAGGAGGGAGTTGTGCTGTACAGTACAAATAAGTGTACAGAATAAAAGAACCCATTGATAATGTTCCACCAACCCAAAATGTATTTTCAATGTCTTTTCTGTAGCACTGTAAACCTTCTGCCAGTCTTTCTTCCAGCCCTTATACAAAATCCCAGCTACTGAGGGGTCTGTGGAACCCAAGAGGATGGAGGTGTCACCATTCACTGCTTGGGGATTGGTAGGAA